AGCTAATGTACTCAATGCTTTTTTTGCCTCTGTCTTCACTAACAAGGTCAGCTCCCAGACTGCTGCGCTGGGCATCACAACATGGGGAATAGATGGCCAGCCCTCTGTGGAGAAAGAGGTGGTTAGGGACTATTTAGAAAAGCTGGACGTGCACAAGTCCATGGGGCCAGATGTGTTGCATCCGAGAGTGCTAAAGGAATTGGCGGATGTGATTGCAAAGCCATTGGCCATTATCTATGAAAACTCATGGCGATCGGGGAAGTCCCGGAAGATTGGAAAAAGGCTAATGTAGTGCCCATCTTTAAAAAAGGGAAGAAGGAGGATCCTGGGAACTACAGGCCGGTCAGCCTCACCTCCGTCCCCAGAAAAATCATGGAGCATGTCCTCAAGGAATCAATTCTGAAGCACTTAGACAAGAGGAAAGTGATCAGGAACAGTCAGCATGGATTCACCAAGGGCAAGTCATGCCTGACTAATCTAATTGCCTTCTATGATGAGATAACTGGTTCTGTGGATGAAGGGAAAGCAGCGGACGTGTTATTCCTCGACTTTAGCAAAGCTTTTGACACGGTCTCCCAAGTATTCTTCCAAGCAAGTTAAAGAAGTATGGGCTGGATGGATGCACTACAAGGTGGGTAGAAAGTTGGCTAGATTGTCGGGCTCAACGGGTAGTGATCAATGGCTCCATGTCTAGTTGGCAGCCGGTATCCAGCGGAGTGCCCGAAGGGTTGGTCCTGGGGCTGGTTTTGTTTAATATCTTCATTAATGATCTGGAGGATGGTGTGGATTGCACCCTCAGCAAGTTTGCAGATGACACTAAACTGGGAGAAGTGGTAGATACGCTGGAGGGTAGGGATAGGATACAGAGGGACCTAGACAAATTGGAGGATTGGGCCAAAAGAAATCTGATAAGGTTCAACAAGGACAAGTGCAGAGTCCTGCACTTAGGACAGAAGAATCCAATGCACCGCTACAGACTAAGGACCGAATGGCTCGGCAGCAGTTCTGCAGAGAAGGACCTAGGGGTGACAGTGGACGAGAAGCTGGATATGAGTCAACAGTGTGCCCTTGTTGCCAAGAAGGCCAATGGCATTTTGGGATGTATAAGTAGGGGCATTGCCAGCAGATCGAGGGACGTGATCGTTCCCCTCTATTCGACATTGGTGAGGCCTCATCTGGAGTACTGTGTCCAGTTTTGGGCCCCACACTACAAGAAGGATGTGGAGAAATTGGAGAGAATCCAGCAGAGGGCAACAAAAATGATTAGGGGACTGGAACACATGACTTATGAGGAGAGGCTGAGGGAACTGGGATTGTTTAGTCTATGGAAGAGAAGAATCAGGGGGGATTTGATAGCTGCTTTTAACTACCTGAAAGGTTTCAGAGTAACAGCCGTGTTAGTCTGTATTCGCAAAAAGAAAAGGAGTACTTGTGGCACCTTAGAGACTAACCAATTTATTTGAGCATAAGCTTTCGTGAGCTACAGCTCACTTCATTGGATGCATACTGTGGAAACTGCAGAAGACATTATATACACAGAGACTATGAAACAATACCTCCTCCCACCCCACTCTCCTGCTGGTAATAGCTTATCTAAAGTGATCACTCTCCTTACAATGAGTATGATAATCAAGTTGGGCCATTTCCAGCACAAATCCAGGTTCTCACCCTCCGCCCCCCCCCAAAGAGGATGGATCTAGACTATTCTCAGTGATAGCAGATGACAGGACAAGGAGTAATGGTCTCAAGCTGCAGTGGGGGAGGTTTAGGTTGGGTATTAGGAAAAACTTTTTCACTAGGAGGGTGGTGAAACACTGGAATGCGTTACCTAGGGAGGTGGTGGAATCCCCTTCCTTAGAAGTTTTTAAGGTCAGGCTTGACAAAGCCCTGGCTGGGATGATTTAGTTGGGATTGGTCCTGCTCTGGGCAGGGGGTTGGACTAGATGGCCTCCAGAGGTCCCTTCCAACTTTGTTATTCTATGATTCTATGATTCTGTGAACTCACAAGGCCCCTTCCTGCCCAACATCTCAAAGACTCCCACAAAATAACATGACTCCAGGAGGTGGGGATTTTAGTAAAGCACCAAACAGCAAGAGACTTGTGATAAAGTCACAAGAGTTCCAAATCCTGTAACACTGAAAAGCTGTAACAAGCCACATTTATATCCAGAAGCGCCAGGCATTTTGCCTTCTCCTAATTCCTGTTCATAATGTTTGCCTTTCAGCATCGAAAGGCCGGTCTGTTACAATAGTCTCGGTGTCTATTTCAGATTGCAAGTGCTTCAGGGCATGGACTGCTGCCTTGCTGGTTTTTACAGCGCTCACCCTATGGAAACGGGCATTATTATCCACAGCGGTGCATCAACTCATGGCTACCATTCAGCAGCGCCTGGCCTTATTTTCCAGCTCTGGATTCACTCTGAGTGAGTTGCACTGGCTGGGATATTGCAGCGTCCCCCAAAAACAAATCAAATCACCTTCGCCTCACTCTCAGCCACCCCCCACTTTTTTCCAATTAATTTTGTTGTCTATTTGCTGCCTGCGTCTCCTCGCAATCCCCTGGGCACGACCATTATCGATGCCCAGCGGAGCCACTTTGCGCTTCCTTTTCAACAAGCCCCGGTGGAATTTGCTTTGGTTACCTGGCTTTAATGAGGCAGCTGAGGCTCACGTCTTCCTCCATGGGGAGGGAGTTGTGGGTCTGCTTCTAAACTCTACATTGGGCCAGGCATCAGTGTGGCCAGATGTGGCCTCTGGGTTTGGCTGGTTTTTTGGTGCCCACCTCCAGACATCTCAGTCCTGGTTTTCAGCACCCAGGATGCAAATTCAAGCAAAGAGATCACCCCTCTCCCTCAATTTTGAATCCCTCCCCTGGCTACCCCTTCTCTAGCACATCAGACTTCCATGGTCTTCACTTTCAAGGCTCTTCCTGGCACATTCTGCTCCCCGCCAAGACCACCACGCTGACCACTGAGAATAACTAACAGGCAAATGTGATGCTGGAAGATGTAAACATGGGAATCTCGAGGAGTAGCAGAGCGGTTACGTGCCCTCTGCATTTGGCCCTGGGGTGACCGCTGCTGGGATCCTGTGGCCAGTCCTGGGGGCCACTGTTCAAAGAAGGATGCTGAGACGTTGGAAAGGGTTCGGAGAAAAGCTGCAAGCATGATGAAAGGATGGGAAAACTTGGACTCCAGGAGCTGAGTTGGTTTATTTTAACACAGAGGAGGTGGAGGGGGGAGGATCAGGACCTACACGAGGAACAAATATTAAATAATGGACTTGCCAGTCTAGCCAACAAAGCTCTAACAAGATCCAATGGCAGGAAGTTGAATTAAATGAATTCAGACTGGAAATAAGACGTACGTTTTTCACAGGGAGGGTAATTAACCCTTGGAATGATTTACCAGGGGTCACGGTGGGTTCCCCATCATTGGGGATTTTTATATCAAACCTGAATGTTTTTCTAAAAGATCTGTGGTAGCTCAGACAGGAATTGTTTCGGGGAAGTTCTCTGGCCTGTGTTATACAGGAGGTCAGACTAGATGATCACAATGGCCCCTTCTGGCCTTCCAATCTATGGGATCTATGAACATTTGGACTTAAACTAGCTGCAGCTGCATTGGAGTCAATAGGGCCAGATCCCTGGCTGGTGGCAATCGGCCACAGCTCCATCAGAGTCAATGGGGAGAGCCCCCAGCTGGTGTGAATCAGCCATCGCTCCATTGGAGTCAATGGGGCAGGCCCCCAGCTGGTGTCAGTGGGTGCTGTTCCATTACTGCCATCAAGTCGGCATCACTCCATCATTTAAATACTGACCCACACCCACTGAGGCCAGCTGGGGATCTGGCCCCCTTGCCATTTGCAAACACGGAAATGATCGGTTAAGGCACCTAAAGGTTCATGACAGGACCTGAGCGCTGCTGAAAACTCAGATTGTGTGTTATTGTCACCTTCGAAATAAGAGGTGAAAACTTGACCAGAGCTTTGCCATTGATGTCACTGGAGCCAGGACTTCACCCAACCTCAGGAAGAACACGGAGCCATTTCCACTGGGCATTTTGGGTCATTTCCCTCCAACGCATCAACCATGGACATAAAATTGGCCAGCCCAGGCCAGACCCAAGATCTGTCTAGTTCAGTATCTCCGGCAACAGAAACATAACAAGCTTCAGAGAAAGCACTGGAGAAATGTGGGGTAATCTGTCTCCCTTCCTGATCACTAAGAGTGATAATCTTCAACCCCGAAGCATGAGGATATATAACCCTTCCAATAAGCCACATTCATTGGGAAGTGCCCAATATGCATCAGAGCCTCAGGGAAATGAGTCGTTTTCTGCCCTCTGCCCAGACACAGAACTTGCAGATGCCATATTTCAAAAGATGCTTTATATGAATATACTAAAATCAACTAGAGAAATTAGCACATTTGGGTTTAGATTCAAGACTGATTATGCCACCGGCATCTGTTGATCAGAAGCGATCTTTGTTGGGAGAGCAGAGGTGTGCAGACTGGGGTTCAGTCCTTTCATTTAATTTCGAATGTCATCATTTTGTCTCCTCCCAGCTCTGGGGCTGTCATCTGAAAAGGACAGAGTGTGGGTGTGGGTGGATGAGATGACCTCTTGAGGTCCCTTCCAGCCTTATATCACTATGATTCCATACTTGGGTGGCTGGTTGCATGTGTATGGGGATGGTTGGCTGGATGGCTGTGGATAGGGACGTATGAGTGGCTGGATGGAGGTGTATGGGAATGGATAGATATGTGTGGTGACAGATGCATGGACACAGAGTCACCGAGATCGGGGCCCCATCACATCAGGCGCCACCCAGACACAGAGTCACAGAGATCAGGGCTCCCTTGCACTGCGTGCTGCAGAGGATCCCTGCTCAGAAGAGTTCCCCGTGTAAAGAGAGAAAAGAAGGAGGATCTCCCCCCTGGTCCAGATGGAGATGTTATAAACAGAGGCCATCCCATCGCTCTGTCCCATCGCTCTGTCTCAGGCAGGGCAGTGGCTCCACCGATGGTCTCGGTCATAGTTGTCTGTGCTGGAACACCAGAACTTCCCGCTGGCCTCCGCCAAGTTGGTGCAGGTGTGGAATTTAAACTTCTTGTAGGTGAAGGGGAAGACACAGGGCTTGCCGTGGGAGGGGCGGTCGTAGTCTGCAGACCAAACACACCGGACTGTGGTTGAACACTGTAGCCAGGATCACAGGCAGTGCAAAGCAAATGTAGGTGGCATCAGACCACGAGCAAACACTTTGTTAGATAGTTCTCTCCCCAGCTTAGGGCTAGAGGGGAGAACGCTGCCCTGTGACAGGGGCAGAGCAATGGGAGACTTGGGTGCTATGCCTGGCTCTGCTGTGTGACCTTTAGCAAGGCACAGCCCAACTCCATGCGTCAGTTTCCCCACTTCTGCAACATGGAGCAAAGGAGCCAAAGATGCCAAAGGGATAGGCAAAAAATGCCTGTGCTGTCAGGGGTTGCGTATGTGAAATGTGTTCATCATCTGTGGGTCCGTGGGGAAGTGCATTTAGCCAGTTTATACACACACTGGTGGTTAGATTCAGCCACACCCCAGATGTGTTTTGGGGGTACATCCTCTGTGGTTATTATGTGCATTAGTCAAGGCCTCTAGATACTCATGTGAGATACTCACCAGCAACCACATACCACACAACAGAACCACTAACCCAGAAACCTATCCTTGCAACAAAACCCGTTGCTAACTGTGCCCACATATCTATTCAGGGGACACCATCACAGGGCCTAATAACATCAGCCACACTATCAGTGGCTCGTTCACCTGCACATCCACCAATGTGATATATGCCATCATGTGCCAGCAATGCCCCTCTGCCATGTACATTGGTCAAACTGGACAGTCTCTACGTAAAAGAATAAATGGACACAAATCAGATGTCAAGAATTATAACATTCATAAACCAGTCGGAGAACACTTCAATCTCTCTGGTCACGCGATTACAGACATGAAAGTTGCGATATTACAACAAAAAAACTTCAAATCCAGACTCCAGAGAGAAACTTTTGAATTGGAATCAATTTGCAAATTGGATTCAATTAACTTAGGCTTGAATAGAGACTGGGAGTGGCTAAGTCACTCAAAGATTCACTCAAAGAATCAATCCTGAAGCACTTACATGAGAGGAAAGTGATCAGGAACAGTCAGCATGGATTCACCAAGGGAAGGTCATGCCTGACTAATCTAATCGCCTTCTATGATGAGATTACTGGTTCTGTGGATGAAGGGAAAGCAGTGGATGTATTGTTTCTTGACTTTAGCAAAGCTTTTGACATGGTCTCCCACAGTATTCTTGTCAGCAAGTTAAAGAAGTATGGGCTGGATGAATGCACTATAAGGTGGGTAGAAAGTTGGCTAGATTGTTCGGCTCAAAAGGTAGTGATCAATGGCTCCATGTCTAGTTGGCAGCCGGTGTCAAGTGGAGTGCCCCAGGGGTCGGTCCTGGGGCCGGTTTTGTTCAATATCTTCATAAATGATCTGGAGGATGGTGTGGATTGCACTCTCAGCAAATTTGCGGATGATACTAAACTGGGAGGAGTGGTAGATACGCTGGAGGGTAGGGATAGGATACAGAGGGACCTAGACAAATTGGAGGATTGTGCCAAAAGAAATCTGATGAGGTTCAATAAGGATAAGTGCAGGGTCCTGCACTAAGGATGGAAGAACCCAATGCACCGCTACAGACTAGGGACCGAATGGCTCGGCAGCAGTTCTGCGGAAAAGGACCTAGGGGTGACAGTGGACAAGAAGCTGGATATGAGTGAGCAGTGTGCCCTTGTTGCCAAGAAGGCCAATGGCATTTTGGGATGTATAAGTAGGGGCATAGCGAGCAGATCGAGGGACGTGATCGTCCCCCTCTATTCGACATTGGTGAGGCCTCATCTGGAGTACTGTGTCCAGTTTTGGGCCCCACACTACAAGAAGGATGTGGAGAAATTGGAGAGAGTCCAGCAAAGTGCAACAAAAATGATTAGGGGTCCGGAACACATGAGTTATGAGGAGAGGCTGAGGGAACTGGGATTGTTTAGTCTGCAGAAGAGAAGAATGAGGGGGGATTTGATAGCTGCTTTCAACTACCTGAGAGGTGGTTCCAGAGAGGATGGTTCTAGACTATTCTCAGTGGTAGAAGAGGACAGGACAAGGAGTAATGGTCTCAAGTTGCAGTGGGGGAGGTTTAGGTTGGATATTAGGAAAAACTTTTTCACTACGAGGGTGGTGAAACACTGGAAATGTGTTACCTAGGGAGGTGGTAGAATCTCCTTCCTTAGAAGTTTTTAAGGTCAGGCTTGACAAAGCCCTGGCTGGGATGATTTAATGGGGGATTGGTCCTGCTTTGAGCAGGGGGTTGGACTAGATGACCTCCTGAGGTCCCTTCCAACCCTGATATTCTATGATTCTATGAAGTCATTATTGAAGGTAACCTATTTCCCCTTGTTTTTTCCTACCCCCCCCCCCCCAAGACATTCTTGTTAAACCCTGGATTTGTGCTGGAAATGGCCCAACTTGATTATCATACACATTGTAAGGAGAGTGATCACTTTAGATAAGCTATTACCAGCAGGAGAGTGGGGTGGGGGGAGGTATTTTTTCATGCTTTGTGTGTATAAAAAGATCTTCTACACTTTCCACAGTATGCATCCGATGAAGTGAGCTGTAGCTCACGAAAGCTTATGCTCAAATAAATTTGTTAGTCTCTAAAGTTCCAGAAGTACTCCTTTTCTTTTTGCGAATACAGACTAACACGGCTGTTACTCTGAAACCTGTCATGTGAGATCTGGGGCTCCTTTTGCTGAGTGCTGCCCAGGTAAAGAGTTTGCTGAGATTGTACCACTGAGTGCCACTCAGACAAAGAGTCACTGAGATCGGGGCCCCATCGCGCTGGACGCTGCCTGGATACAGAGTCACTGAGATCAGGGTTGTGCCAGGCGCTGCCCAGACAGACAGAGATGGCAAATCCCTGTCTCAAAGTGCTGCCAATCTGAACAGCCAATAGAAGGAGCCCCACCACTCTAGGGTGATTTGGGGGATGGTTTTAAGAACTGTTGAACAGTTGCTACCCATGAACTTCAGCTTGCTCAGCTTTTCCTAAGGGACGGGGGATGGGGACCAAAAAGCCAACCAACCAGTTCCTAACTGACTCACCAAAGGAGTCTATGGCAAAGTCAGGAATTGAACCAGGCCTCAGTGAGCCGAACACCTTAACTGCAAGGCTCAGCTTCCTCCGCCCCCTGCCTTACCTGGTGTGGAGCAGTAAGTCCACTTCTTGTCCACGTCGTAATTCCTGGTGGTGCTGCACCACAGGTGTCCCGAGCTCTCCCCGTCGCTGGTGCAGGTGTAGTGCATTTGTTTGTTATAGAGGAAGGGGAACGCACAGCTCTTTCCTGCTGCGTTCCCACCCAGGACTAGGGAGGCAAAGGGAGGTGGTTATAAACACTGCCAACATGCCCACCTGCCTACGGACTAACGGATGCTACATCCCAGTATGGCCCGGACACCCATCACGAACAGCCAAGAAATCTCATGTAGGCTTTCATGGATTCATAGATCCCAAGGCCAGACAGGACCACTGGGATCATCTAGTCTGAAGTCATGTAGAACACAGGCCAGCGAGTGTTCCCCGATTCTCTCTGTGTTGAACCCAATGACTTGGGTTTCACTAAAGTATCTTCTAGAATGGCATCCAGTTTGAATTTGAAGACATCATCATGGCTAAAGAATCTTTCAGGAAGGCCAACAGGAACCTGGCTTCCCAAAACCCACTGACCCTATCGGTTCTAGATCTAATTTTCTGGCTTCTCCTAGACCCTGGCCTTGAACTTTCCCTGAAGGAATCCTTAGAGGCTCATTCAGGTGCTGGAAAGGGCGTGTTGCAAGCCACAATCCCACCCATCAATCACGTAGACTCCAATTGCCCAATTCCCATTGGCATCAAAGTGTCACAACTCCTCACTGGCTCAGGAGCACAGCAGAGATTCAGTGAAACCAAAATGTGTTGTGAATTTCTGTCAGTTTTGTCAGATTGTTCGTGTCGGAAAAATGATGAGAAACATTCAGAAAAAATCTATACTCCAATTCGAAATGACTTTTGCTTTCAAAATGTCTTCTTTTCTCTTAAACCCCAAATGTAGAAAGTTTAAAAAATGCTCAAACTTGAAATGAAATGTTCTGCTCAACCCAAAGGGATTTTTTCCCTTAAATTTTCAGTTCAATGAAAATTTTTAAAAAATCATTTTTCTGGATAACCCAAAACAAACATTTTTGTAATTTTTGGATTCGCTGAAAATTTCAGACATTTCGTCTTAGGCATCCGCTCGAAACCATTTCCCTGACTTTGCAATGGAATGACAATTAAAAAAATTTAAAAAAAGAACTTTCATGATCCACCTGAAATGATTTTTTCCCTCTGGTTTTTGGGTTCACTGATAATTTCGAAAACATTCATTTTCATGGCAACCCACAAGTTTCCCCCCTGATTTTTCAGAATCATCACCAAGCCACAAATTAGTTATTTTCCCAACTGAGAGAACATAGGAAGCGGACTGGACACATTACTGGTATCGGGGCAGTCGCTCCACAGCTTATTCCGGTCGTAATTGTGGGTTGTGGCGCACCAGAAATGTCCCATCTTGTCTCCAGCGTTGGTGCAGGTGTAAAATAGCTGTTTTTTGTAGACAAAAGGAAACGTGCAGCGCTGGCCATTGGAGTTCCCCCCGTAGGCTGCAAAGGCAATGAGCAAAGCAGAGTGAATGCGAAAAAGTTTTCTTAGCAAAAAAGAAAAGCTGGTGTGTGGGTGTGTGTGTATGTGTGTCTCATTCTCACTGCTGCAGTGAAAGCCAAAGATAATTTTTTACAATGGATGAATGGCATTGTGGTCAGCCCAGGGTTCCATCTAGCCTGCTCTCCCATCTCTGGTGGCCACATTACAAGGAGGTGCTAGGCAATTTGGCTGCACGGGGGAAGCCATTTGTAGCACACAACCCCTCCAGCGAGCTCCATTTGGCCTGCAAGACCGGGTGACAGCACTCCCTGTGCTAGGGGAGGGAGATGGGACATACCAGCACGTCCTCCACAAACTCTTACCTCTGTGCCAACACAGAGTGCTCTGATTGCAGCTGGGACTCACCCTCACTAAAGCAGAAGCACCGGAGATGGTCTTTGTCGTAGTTGGGAGTGGTAGCACACCAGGGCCTTCCCATCTGGTCATCGACAGCTGTACAGCTGTGGTGGGTCTTACCCTTATAGATGAAAGGGAAGACACAAGGGGAGCTCTCCGAACTCCCCCCCCACCACTGGTGGAGAAAGAGGCAAGGAAGGAAAGGGTTAAAACAGGGCAGAAGGCAGGATGCAGGGTGGGCAATTTGCTGGGAGAACTGAGTGCGAATTTTCCCAACAAAACAATTTTTTAATGTGGAAAAATGCCAGTTGCTGGGGTGGGTTCCAGGAAGACTGTGGCCAAACGCCTGGACATGGGCCAGACCCAGGGCTGGTCGCTGTCCTCGGTTGTGCAGGCCGTGTAGACCTTGCCATTGTAGGTGAAGGGGAAGACGCAGGGGGCAGAGTCGGAGCCTGGCCATGAACAAGGGGCAGAGATCAGAAAAGGGGGAGATGGCCACCAGGAGGCCCCTCAAAGACTAGCAGGGAGAGCCCTGGGCCGGGGGTCAGGATGCCTGGGAGGAGAGGGGAGGGGAGTGTAGTGGTTAGAGCAGGGGGGATGGAATCCAGGACTCCTGGGTTCTCTCCCTGGCTCTGGGAAGGGAGCAGAGTGTAGTGGTCAGAGCAGGGTGGGCCGAGAAACTCCTGCTGTCCTTCTCTGACCCCCTGGTATGTCACGCACTACTTCACAAAACACACTGTTTCAGAGTAGCAGCCGTGTTAGTCTGTATTTGCAAAAAGAAAAGGAGGACTTGCGGCACAGCTCACTTAGAATCGTAGAATCTCAGGGTCGGAAGGGACCTCAGGAGGTGTCTAGTCCAACCCCCTGCTCGAAGCAGGACCAACCACAATTTTTGCCCCAAATGGCCCCCTCAAGGATTGAACTCACAACCCTGGGTTTAACAGGCCAATGCTCAAACCACTGAGCTATCCCTCCCCCAAAACATCACATCCCTGCATTGGCCGGGAATTGAACGCGGGTCAACTGCTTGGAAGGCAGCTATGCTCACCACTATCCCACCAATGCATCTAACTTCATTGAAAGCTCATGCTCAAATAAATTGGATAGTCTCTAAGGTGCCACAGGTCCTCCTTTTCTTTTTGCGAAAACACACTGTGCTACTCCACACAACGACAACATGACCCACTGCACTACACAAGCACACTGCCACACGGCATCCACTACACCACAGCCCCCACGCCATGCCACGAATCAGCAACACACTGCTCCACTACCCACAGTGTATTACACTCTGCAACTCAACAGTACCCTGAAGAACACCACACTGCACAATGTGCTGCTCCACAACACAGTTTGTTACACTTCACACCACACAGCTACAGACTGCTCCTCAGTTCACACTCTCCTACACTGCTCCACATCACAGAATCTACTACACAACACAACAGTCAGCTCCACAACACAACAGCACACTGCTCCACAACATGCATTCTATTACACAACAAAACACACTGCTCCACATCACAACACACTGCTCCACAACATGCACTCCACTCCACTATACAACACACCACTCCCCAACTGCACTGCAACACACTGCTCCACAACTCATACTTTAGAACACAACATAGCAGCACACTGCTCCACAACACAACAGCACACTGCTCCAGAACATGCACTCCGCTGCACACCAACACCCTGCTGCACAGCCACACACTCTACCACACTACACACCAACACACACTGACCTGAGACAGCCCCTGCCTCTCTTACCCTGGGTCCCTTTGCGAGCAGTGCCAGGGCCCAGGCCAGGATGCATGTGGCTGGGAGCGAAGCCATTGTCCTGTCCTCACTGTCCCGGTCCTGGAGCCCCAGCCCCATATATACGGCCTCCCTTGGGGGCTCTTCCCCTTGGCTGCTCCCCAGGGGATTCCCTGTTCACCAGATGGTTTGCCACCTCACTACCCTACCATGCCCATGGCATATCATGAACCCTCTATTTCCTGAAACCTGAGCCCCCCTTGCCCACTTGCCTTGGCCAGGCTGTCTCATTGTCCTCCCCAAAGCCACCCCCAAAGCCCAGGGGACCAGATCCACAAAGGGATTCAAAATCAGTGGAAATTAGTTGCTTAAATACCCACATGGATCCACAGAAGGGAGAGATTCAATCCCTCCAGGATACGGCAGCCGGGAATTTTTGCCACAAATATCCAGCTGGAAAGACAGCTCCTGTGCAAGAGAAACAGCACAGAAGAAATTGTCAAGATTTCAATTTTTTAGGATGGAAATTGTTCTGAGATGGCGACTTTGCAGAATGGTGTATTTGGGAGATTTTGACTTTTCAGGATGGGAAATTTTGTCAAAATATCGACGATTTTCACAGCAGGGGAAATCCATTGCCTTCCCACCTCTACTCCTGCACCACATCTATATAGCAACCATGGCTCCCCGGCCCCTCCCTGCTCCTCAGCAGTTTTACACTGAGCCATGTTCCCCTCCCCAGCAAACTACAGGAGCAAGCATGGTTAGCTTTCTGCTGTAGTAGGTTGTTATCCTCTCTCCAGCCCTAAAGAAGGAATGCCAGCCGCTGTCCATACCCCTGCATGAAAGCAGCAGCTTGTCAAAGTCAACTGACGCTGTTCTCAGCATCTCTGACAATCAGTTTATCACCAGGAGCCACTCCTTCTTGGATCACACCCATTTCACAGGTTCCTTGCCAGAATTTGGGGCCTTGGTGCAGTTGGCACCATTCCATGGCAAACAGGCAATTCTGAGGAACATGAGCATTACCTAGGTCTGTTTACATGCCCACCCACTAATTCCTGAGTATATTTCCTTTCCACCAAGCAAACCTGGCAGCTGGTGTCTGGCAGCTGGTCCTTAGGAGGAAAGCATCCGTCACAATGAATTCATCACAGTGTATGGTTCCTGCCACCAAGGGCTGGGAAAAACAGTGCGAGGGGGCTGTGGGTCGGGATTGAGGAGCACCGATGGAGTCGGGGGAGAGGAAGGAGACCAGGACCAGGTTACCAGGGGGGTTACAAGATATAAGGAGAGACATTGCAACAGCTGGGGGTGTGGGGAGCAAGGCTAGGATAGCAGAGGCTGTAGGTTGGGATTGAAGGGCACTGGTTGTAGAGATGGCAGGGAGGAAGCAGCCCAGACACAGAGTCACCGAGATTGGGGCCCCCTCACAGTGGGTGCTGCCCAGACACAGAGTCACTGAGATTAGGGCCCCCTTGCACTGGGTGTTGCCCAGACAAAGAGTCACTGAGATCGGGGCCCCGTCGTGCCGGGCGCTGCCCAGACACAGAGTCACCGAGATCGGGGCCCCCTCGCACTGGGTGTTGCCCAGACACAGTCACTGAGATCGGGGCCCCGTCGTGCCGGGCACTGCCCAGACACAAAGTCACTGAGATCGGGGCCCCCTCACGCCGGGCGCAGCCCAGATACAGAGTCACTGAGATCTGGGCCCCGTCAGGACAGGTGCTGCCCAGACACAGAGTCACCGAGATCGGGGCCTCATCACACTAAGTGCTGTACAGACACAGAATAAGAGACAGTCCCTGACCCCAGAATTTCACAGTTTTAATGGGCAGCACATAGGATGAAAGGAAAACTCTCCTCCCCCTACTACAGTTGAAGAACAGAGGCTATGGGGACGCAGAGGGACTTGTCCAGGTCTTGTGGTGCTGGGAGCTGAGCCCTTATCTTCTACATCACAAACCAAGAAACCAATTCTTCCTGTGGGGAAAACTGAGGCACACTGCAACCTCAAACCTCAAAGGCACTTAGGAATCTAAATCCCATTGGTTTCCATGCAATCCAGGTGCCTAATTCCCTTTGGGGATCTACAGTCTGCTCACGGTCAGACAGTGACTTGCTAGAAGAGTAGAATCAGCTGTCTTAAAGCCCACCCACATGGGGGAGCACTGCGGGGGCTGATGGGATATATATATACTGCCCCCACCTGAAGAACCTGACAGAGAACCCAGCCGGATCCATTCGGGAGGGATGGGGGGTGATGAAGTGGGGATTTCTTGTAATATTTTGTATGAATAGCCTATCTGCCTCAGTTTCCCCTGTATGCAGCATTATCTAGGTGGTGGGAAAAGGTTGGTTACTCTCTGCAGAGACCCAGGTGTTCTGGACGCCCAGATGGCCAGGGCCTGGGCCCTGGGTCATGGAGAGTAAGCAAAGACAATGGTCAGGCCAATTGTCCAGACATTTGGTACCTAGCAACTAAGGACCATGGCCCATCCCGCTGCAGGAAGCTGGACAGGTTTCCCCAGAAGACCAAAGGACTGAGGAGGGATCAGGTGGCGGCTGTTACATGTGGGGCAGCTGGCAGATGGAAACTTTCCTGAACTTTGAGTTCGCTTGCCTATTTGATTTTTTACATGCTTACTAATATATGTAAACAAAGGACAAAGAGACTGTGTATGTTTCTTCTGCCTGGCTAGCTGGGTTTGTTACAGATAAGAGCAGTTAAAGAGTTACTGGACATGGTGGGAGTGTAATATATGAGTACACACTTGCAGATTGCCTCAGCTCTTATCTCAAGGCAAGATTAGAAAGGCCAAGGCACAAAACGAGATCAAACTATCTAGGGACATAAAGGGTAACAAGAAAACAGCCTACAAATACATTAGAAGCAAGAGGAAATCCAAGGACAGAGTTATTCAATGAGGGCAGAAAGACAATAACAGAAAATGTGGAAATGGCAGAGGTGATTAATGACTTCTTTGTTTTGGTTTTCACCAAGAAGGTTGGTGGTGATTGGACATCTAACATAGTGAATGCCAGTGAAAATGAGGTAGGATCAGAGTCTAAAATAGGGAAAGAACAAATCAAAAATTACTTAGCCAAGTTAGATGTCTTCAAATCACCAGGGTCTGATGAAATGCATCCTAGAATCCTCAAGGAGCTGACTGAGGAGATATCTGAGCCATTAGCAATTATCTTTCAAAAGTCATGGAAGATGGGAGACATTCCAGAAGACTGGGAAAGGGCAAATATAGTGCCCATCTATAACAAGGGAAATAAGGACAACCTGGGGAATTACAGACCAGTCAGCTTAACTTCTGTACCTGGAAAGATAATGGGGCAAATAATCAAGAAATCAATTTGCAAACACCTGGAAGATAATGAGGTGATAAGTAACTGTCAGCTTGGATTTGTCAAGAACAAATCATGTCAGACCAACCTGATAGCTTTCTTTGACAGGGTAACCAGCCTTGTGGATGCGGGGAAGCAGTAGATGTGGTATATCTTGACTTTAGTAGGGCTTTTGATATTCTCTCACATGACCATCTCATAAACAAACTAGGGAAATACAACCTAGATGGAGCTACTATAGGGTGGGTGCATAACTAGTTGGAAAATCATTCCCAGAGAGTAGTTATCAATGGTTCACAGTCGTGCTGGAAGGACATAACGAGTGGGGTCCCACAGGGATTGGTTCTGAGTCCAGTTCTGTTCAATATTTTCATCAATGATTTAGATAATGGCATAGAGTACACTTATAAAGTTTGTGGATGATACCAAGCTGGGAGGGGTTGCAAGGAGGATAGGATTATAATTTAAAATGATCTGGACAAACTGGAGAAATGGTCTGAAGTAAATAGGATGAAATTCAGTAAGGACAAATGCAAAGTACTCCATTTAGGAAGGAACAATCAGTTGCACACATACAAAATGGGAAATGACGGCCTAGGAAGGAGTACTGCGGAAAGGGATCTGGGGGTCAGAGTGGATCACAAGCTAAATATGAGTCAACAGTGTAACACTGTTGCAAAAAAAGCAAACGTCATTCTGGGCTGTATTAGCAGGAGTGTTGTAAGCCAGACAGGAGAAGTAATTCTTCCGCTCTACTCCGCACTGATTAGGCCTCAACTGGAGGGCTCACACAGAGGGGAACACTGGAGGGAAAGAAAAGCCAGTGTTCTCAGTGGTAGCTGATGACAGAACAAGGAGTAATGGTCTCAAGTTGCAGTGGGGGAGGTTTAGGTTGGATATTAGGAAAAACTTTTTCACTACGAGGGTGGTGAAACACTGGAATGCATTACCTAGGGAGGTGGTAGAATCTCCTTCCTTAGAAGTTTTTAAGGTCAGGCTTGACAAAGCCCTGGCTGGGATGATTTAATGGGGGATTGGTCCTGCTTTGAGCAGGGGGTTGGACTAGATGACCTCCTGAGGTCCCTTCCAACCCTGATATTCTATGATTCATTCTCTCAGCAGTTCCTGAGACCTTACCCTTTCTCTCAGGGGTCCCAGCATAAAACTCCCTCCTGCTGCAGGCAAATACTTTAACCTGAGCTCCATGGAAAAAATCATTACCAAGGAGCAGGTCAAATAGGAGGTGTTCCATTACCCCCACAGTCAAAACACTTTCCAAACCTTCCCACACCACATAGATTTTAGCTAGTGATACAAAGAATCTGCTTTCGCCCACCCCCACAATCTCTGCCATTTGGCCAGGTAACATATGGGCCTTTGGGACCACCCTCTGCTTACCCAGAGAGTTCTGGGCCCCTGTATCCTTCTGCCCCAAGTACTCCCTGCTGTTAATTTGGACAGCCTTAACAAGCTCCATATCTGGTTCTGCAGAGGCTACCCTCAGAGAACCAATATGGTAGGTTTCAATTGCTTGGGGGGGTTCTGTGGTGAGGACAGCAGGACTAACATGAGCTATTGGTTGCCTGCTTCCTCCTAGCACAGGGCATTTATTCCTCAGGTGATCAGTGGAATTACACTGATCGCACCTTTTGGGCTCTTCTGCTTTTACAGGAGATTTGGGATGAGGGTTAGAGGAATGTTTTTGGGTAAGGGAATGTTTAGGCTCCCAACCCCCTTCTCTCTTCCCAGGGGCAAAATGGGATCCTCCCTTCCCACCAGTTTTAAACCCCCTTTTCTGTGGCCTGCCCTCAATAGATGCCTGAGTTTCTTCGAAGGCATCAGCAAGAGATGCCATCTCATCCACAGACTTTACATCCTTGTCCCATAGACACGGCTTCACATCAGCCTAACATACGCTAAGGAAATGCTCTTGAGCAACAAGATCCAACATCCCCTCAAAACTTGCCACCTCTTTGTCCCTCACCCATTTTCCCAACAAATCTTTCATTTTGTTCACATATTCCCCATTACTCATCCCAATATCCCTCTTAAGATTCCTAAATTTAACTCTATCTGTTTT